TCTCTTCTGTGTGACCTTGGTCGTGTTACTTAACCTCTGTCTAGTCGTAATGCCTCACCTCCCACCCTTCTCACTACCTATGATATTTTGAGCTGCTCCCCTTATGGAGAAGACTCAGAAAGTATAGCATCATGACAACTGAAGACAGTGCCCATGAGGCAAAAAGTAAGATGTGACATGTTTTGAAAGCCAAAACAAGTCAGCGAGACATTATAACCTGAAATAAATGGAGGTGAAAGAGAAGTTGTCTAGGGTGACCCCTCCCCCACCCCAGGTCTCTGACTCAATCATTTGGTTAAGGAGATATCTTTCAAGTTTCTTTGTAAACGTACTTTTTTCCCTTCCTATGCTCTTTTCCTTTTTACGGCTGAATAATATTCATTGTGTATATGTACCACTTTATGTACATCTTCTTTAGTCTCATCTATCAGTGGACACTTAGGTTGCTTCTATAGATTGGCTATTATAAATAATGCTGCAATAAACATAGGGGTGCATATATCTTTCTGAATTGCTGTTTTAGATTTCTTCAAATTTCCCAGAAGTGGAATTGCTGGGTCATATAGTGGTTCTATTTTTAATTTTTTAGGAACCTCCATACTGTTTTCCATAGTGGCTGTACCAATTTACAATCCCACCAACAGTGCATGAGGGTAGAGCGCATTTCTTTGGGATGGTATTTGACTGGTTTATCCTTTTCCATTTACTTATTTTACTTCTGTATATTTTTTAGGGATGCTGCTTGTGAACAGCATGGAGCTGGAATTACTTTTTATCCAATCTGTGAGTCCCTATCTTTGAACTGGTGAGTCTTATCCATCTTCATTTATTATGATGATTGATACAATTAAATGTATTTATACCACTTTATGTGCCTTTGCTTTTTTTTTTCCTCCGCTCATTCCTTCTTAGATTCTATACATTCTTTTGGGACCCTTCTCCAATCATGTAGTTCTTTCAGGGGTGAGTGGAAAACTCTCTTAATATTTATTTGTCTGAAAATTAATTTATTTTGCTCTCACTTCTTGAAGATATTTTTCCATTATTGCTGTTATTTTAAGTGTTGTTCTTTTGCAGGTAATCTAACTTTTTGGTCTGGGTGCCTTTGATATTTCTCTGTGACTTCGGAGTTTCGCAGTTTCACTACAGTGGTTCTTAAGTGTGTATTTAATTTATCGGTCTCATGACAGGGTGAGGATTGTGTAAGTTTATGTCTTCTATCAAGTCTGGAAAATCCCCAGTCATTTTTAAACTCCTTCTGGAACTCCTAGTACTAGTATTGGGCATTTTAATTTTTATCTTTTATATCTTTAAATATGCTCTCATGTTTTCCATTTCTTCACTTCTCTGTAATCCATTGTGGGCACTTTTAGTTCAGAAATTCTGTCTTCAGGTACATCTAATCAGCTATTAATCTATTAATGTTTTTTTTTTTAAAGGGATTATTTTGGTATGGAAAGAGCACATAAAACACAAATGTACAACTAAATTAAATATTTTTAAGTGAATGTCTATGTAGCAATCACCCAGATCTAGAAATAGAAAATTTCCAGCTTTCCCAGAAGCATTTTATGTGTCACCTCACAATCACGGACTTTCTTTTCTCTCAAAGTTACTACCATCCTGCCTTTATTAAACACTTCTTGCATCAGTGAACATATACATATGGATCTTCCTTCCTTTGCTTACCATTTTGTTTCTGAGATGCCTCTGTAATGTAGCATGTAACTGTAATTCATTCACGTTCATTACTGCTGTGTCTAATGTCAGGTTCCCAATGTTTTGGTTATTCCCAGTCTTTTTCATTTCCATATCACTGTACGATTTCATTTATACAAAAAACAAAAACAAACAAAAGTAAAGAGTTTTATGTGAAAAACTTGTTAGGCATCCAATTTATATGAAACTTTAATGACGTGTTTTTTCAGGATCCAAATTTTATTTATTGTTGAGTAAAGAAGCAAAATACAGAATAATACATATAGTATGATCCCATGAACACAAAGATATATCTTTGCACTTATGCAGCTATACACATGTACATATTAATCTATTAAAATAATCCTAGAATTCTAGAAAGACCAAGCTTATGCAAATGGTTACTTCTGATATATGGGAATGGGGCAGAGTGCAGGGGAGTGGGAAGGTCTGTGTTGCATGGAAGGAGCTATGTAGGCATATACCATCACATTTTACTTCTTGCTTCATTTGTTCATTTTTATAATAAGTAGTCTTTTTAAAAAATCAGTGGAAGTCACATTATCAGAAGAAAGGAATCAGGATTTGCTTTGGGGAATAGCAGGCTCCCCCTTTCCCCTCAACCCCCACCAGGTTCTCCTCTTCTGTACCTAGTGGTTGCCATTACCCTCCAGAGTACAGCAGGGACAACCCAAGGTGGTCCAAACCTTCTCTTCTGTTTCAGACAATTTAAGGGTTGGTTTTCAGCTCATGGAAACATGGCTTTAAGTGGCGGTGCCCAAATTCAAGACAACATATCAATTGTAAGTAATTCTAAGAGTCAGACTGCCTGCCCCTCGAGACTGTGTGGGGCACAGTAAAGTCTAGAACAAAAAGAAAGTGCAACCATTATTCCATGCACCTGAGGACCAGCTGGATTCCTGACCTTTTCATCTTCCCAAGTGTGGGGGTCAGGGAGGAGGCAGAAGGAGGCAAGGGAAAGGGGTAATTCATGTTCAAAGGGAGCCCTGCAGTGATCAGAGACTTTCCTTCAGATTTCAGCTTTACAGACCCCTCAGTCACATCTTAGCAGCCTACTTCTCAAGCTGCATCCACCGCAAAAACATCTTTTCCAGTCAAGAGCAGGAGTTACCTGAAGTCTAATAATGACTGAGTGCCTATTATGTACGTGTCCAGCACTGTGCTCGCAACAACCTAATACAGGGGCTTCTATTATTTTCCTCACTTTACAAGAGGAGAAACAGAGGCCCACAGGTGAGAAATGACCTGTTTGAGTTCACATGGCTAACAGTGGCAGTTAGAACCTCTCTCATCCTGTCTGACTCCGCAGCCTGTACATTTAACCCCTAAACTCTAAGGCAGGACACCATGATTCCAGAGCAAGTGAGCATTGGCTTGGCTACCCAGTGCAGTGAAAAGAGACACCCACTGGGATCAGACACAGTTCCATTTTGGCTCTGTCCCTGGACAGGCCACTTCCCCCTTTTGAATTTGGATAGCCACATATGTAAAATGAGACAATACCTTTCTCTTAAGGTTGTACCAAAAATTAGAAATAGGATATGTAGAGAACCTACTACCAGCCTGAGCACTGAGGCACCCAATAAAAAAGCAGCCATCATAATCATCACTATCATCGTCATCACCACCACCACCACTTGAACTTAGAGGCATTCCTTACTCTCCTCTTCCTAATGAGCTGGAGTAAAGTCCCAAACTGCTGATGAGGACTAGGGTAAGATCTATCTACCTTGGAGCCTGCTCAGAATGGTGAGCAGGAGGAGGTGGGAAAGGTCTTTATAAGTGCCCCACTTTGCACTTGTCCTGCAAGGTGCCCAGAGGGGTTCCCTTCTTACCGTCTCATGGCCACCCCCCTAGTCCAGGCCTTATTCCTCGAAGCCCTGGCTTCTTGCCTTACTCCTCTCCAATCTGTGCCCCACATAGCAGCCATCAAGATCCCTCACTCCCTCGCTTAAGAACCCTCATTTTCTTAGTATGGCCTACCCCAACCTGGCCCTCTAAGGAGTCACCGACTCCTCTAACACAGCCCTCTCCCTTCCCCAAAACACTCTGCATCTGTGACAGTTCCACGCCTTTTCAGCAGACACTGGTCCCCTCACCAGAAATGCCCCCCCATCACACTTTTGTCCCTTGATGGACCCTTACTTCCCCTCCAAGGTCCCACTCAAAAAAGCTTCCTCTGGGCAGCTGCTTGGAATCCCACCCCACATCCAGGGTTAGAGACCCCCTCCTCTGCCCCACAGCACTTTATTCCTCAGGGGTCAATTAGCATGCTTTAGAGAAAATTAAGATAATGTACCCCTTTATAAATCTGTATTTCCTACAGTCCATTCCTACTCTAGGCCAAGGCCGGGGCTTCTCTCCCTGCAGCTGTCACAGTGTCTAGCACATAGTAAGTACTCAGTAAATGTTTAGGGCATGAGTAGCTAAAGATCATCTGCATGTCAGTAAAAGGAAAAACTTTCTAAACACATTTGGGGACGACTAAACTTTGTGATCTTTGAGGCCATTTGCAATAGGTTTTGTGTGTGAAGGCCTTTCTTAAACTGAAATGCCATTAACAAGTCTTGACTCCAGACGTTCCCAGAACTCTGAGAGTAGAGAACTGAAGATTCAGGCTGGGCTACAGCTCCTCAGACTCCGGGAGGTTGCGGACCCAGCCCTGGGCCACTCTGTTGAAGCTGGGTCTGAGGCGGAGGAGTTCCAAGCCACTGATGAGCTCCGGGACGAAGGGGGTGCCCGCCCTAAGCATGGTTTCCCCGACCAGGGGTCCTCCAAAGGGCACTGGAGTCCTGGGGAAAGAAGAGCAGCAGGAGATCTGGTCTGTGTGGAAAAGGGCTGACAGAACACTATGCAGGTCACCATGTGGGGGCGCCCTCCCTGTCTGTCTCTGGGCCTCAGTTTCCCCTTCTGTACAGCAAGGTTTTGTATAATCTTTAACAGTTTTCTCCAGCTCTGCCTCTAGTCAATTTGGCTTGTTGCTTAGAAATAGGAGTTAAGTTTTCGGAGTTAGAATTGGCTTGTCGTAAGCTAAACTCTAGGTTCCCCATAAGTAAGCTCCAGAAGGGAATAGAGTTGGAATAGGGTTTTTTCCTTCCCCTTGTCATATCCCCTTAGAAGAATATACCATAAACTGGAATGAGAAAGGAGGGTCAGAAAAAGCATTGAGAATCATGGAAATGCAGATTACAACAGACATGCCGTTTCTCACCCAGAAGACTGGCAAGAAGAAATAATTTGTTAATGGGGCAGAGTTTCACTCATAAACTACTGTTTGGAGGGCACTGGGGCTGCTCCGTTGGAGGAGAGTTTGGCAGGAACTTTTTAACCTGAAAATGTGCAAACCGTCAACCAGCAACTCCACCTCTAAGCATATGGCTTAGGGAAGCACATACACAAGGAAGCAGATATGAGCAGGGATTAGTGACAAGCCAGAAACAACCCACTACCCAGGAGTGGACACGACAAATGTAGTATACTCACGTGACGGAATATTTTACAGCCGCTTAAAAGGAATGAAGAGATCTATATGTATTAAGTTGGGTAGATTTTAAAGTCATCATGTTGCAGGTTACAGAAAAAAATGAAAGTTTTAAAACACATACACAAAACAATGTTATATCCCCCATAAGTACGTAGCTGCCCGTAGGAAATGTTCTAAAAAGCTACACACCAACTGTCAATAGTGTTACCTTTGGAAAGGAAACTGGGGTTGAGAATAATGAACAAAGGAACCTTACCTTTATTTGTAGTTGCTAGTTTAAAAAATTTGTATAAATGTGATTTTAAAACTAGTTTTTAATTTTAAGAAAAATAAAAAGCATTGCTCATATAGTGATTTCTCCACAGCCTGGGACCAATGGGAAGGGGGCAGTGCTTGCCCCTGGGGTAGAAGGGCAAACCTTGGGCCAGGGCCTGGGTTCCAGCCAGGACGGGGTTTCTGCCTAGACCACCCCAACAGTGGCGGCAACAGCCAGGTCCTGCGGGAACAAGCTGGGCAGTTTCCAAGCCAAGCAAGTCTCACAGTTGGGCCCTTGACTAGGATCCCAGAGCTCTGGATCCTGAGCACAATTTGGCCACCAACATTGCTGTTCTTCCTCAATCTGCCTCGGTTGGCCCTTCTGCCCCAAAATGGGCCTGGGCTCAGGGTTCCCTAAAACCCTCCTTGGCTGGTGGGAATGTGCCTGGGCCTGTCATACCTGAGGTGTGAGGTAGATGGGGCTGTGACATGAGCTGGCCAGCCTGGAAGCTGGTTGCCAGGACTGAATGTCTGCTGAGAGTTTTAAATAGCTGGGCAGGCAGGGCCTGAGGGCCCCAGGAGGTGAGGGAGAACAGTCCTGTCTGGCAGTAAACTCCAGAATGTCTGCCAACAGCTCATGGCTCACACAGTACCTGTTGGATGCAGTTCCTCCCATCAGGGCCCTCCCTGGCTATCAGCTGTTTAAGGGAAGTCATGTCTCTTCTGAGCACTCTCTTTTCAAGGCCCATCACCCCCAGTTCCTTTTGCCCTTCCTCAGAGGGCCTGGCCTCCAGGCCCTGCCAAGCCCTGGTGGCCATCCGTCTGTCTTTGTCAGACAGACACAGTCTCTACATGTGGTCCGAGCAGGTGCCAGAGTTGGACTGCGGCCTCCTCTCTGTGGACCCTCCACTTTCACACTTAATGCAATCCAAGCCTTGGAGTATTTTTCAGAAATAGCATCAGACCGAGGAAGCCATTTGCAGTTGAAATACAACCTCCAGCCCAAGGCCTTCCTCCAGTGCCAAGCTCCTGTCTTTACTCCCATGATTTGTTTTCAGGCCCCCAGGGCAGAATGTTAAATTTATCCCTTTCGAGTTCTCCCCTATTAGCTCTTCCAACCATCACCATCATTTCAATCTATAAATAATAATAATAATAACAACAACAGTAGCTACTGTTTTATTAAGAGCTTATTACTGGCTGGAAACGTTGCCTATGTCTTCTTATGCCATCCTCACAACAATCTTTAGGAGGTAGGTACTGTAATAGTCTCATTTTACAGGTGGGGAAATGGAGGCTTGGAGAGGTTAAGTCACTTCCCCCGAGGTCACACAGCCAGATGAGGAGTCTGCACTGAAGTCCACGTTGAGACCCCATGCTCTAAACAGTACGAGGTGCTCCTCTGTGGCGCTCACCTCTGGTGTCTAACGTTTCACGGCCACTTTGGTACAGCCTTAAAGACGCTTTCAAGGCCTCTTGCAAATCATTGATGAAAATGAGGAAAAGGCTGAGCTAGTCCATTACTGGTGAGATCTGGGGCCCCCACCTAGAGAAGGACATGCACTTCGATGTCCATCAAAGAGATGGTACAAAGCAATGACAGAGAAGAAGAAACCAAGCTCTGGCATCAGACAAACCCAGACATGGACCCCAGCGCTGCCGCTGCTCCTGGCTTTGGGACTTTGGGCAGGTGGTTGATATTCCTGAGTGTGTCTCTTCACCAGCAGAATAAGAAAAATTGTAGCACCTGCCCCACCTTGTTGGGAGGATCCAACAAGATGGGTGGCACATTTGCCCATTCATTCCCTGTACATTTATTAAGCACCTACTGTGCTGAGGCAAGAGTTTTGTTAAGTTCTAGCAAGAGCTCAATAAATGTATATAAAGTGTTCAGTTAGAGCCTGTCATGTAGAAATGCTCAGGAAATGCAGCTGCTGCTGTGGTTGTGACTGGCACCTGTGCACCCTCCGGATCTCTCCCCAGGCCACCCGCCCAGCCTTACTTGTTGAAATTTCGATACTCTGCAGGGCGGGCGACATGACTTCGGCCAGTGCTCTGGTAGTCCCGGTAGCTGACGAACTCCTGCCACGGGCAGTGGTAGCCCTTGGGGATGACCGTGTGGTTGAACTTCTCAGGCGGGACGCTCTTGAGTGGCTCGGCATAGCCTGGAGGTGGAGCAGGGCGCATGAGAGGCGGGCGGGAGGGGGCGACTGGGTTCCTTTCCTTCTCCACCCTCACTCCCACACCCACCCCACGGATGCTGTTGGTGTTGGAAAGAAGCTAAGAAAGGGGAGTGGGTACGGGGGGCAGTTAACACCAAAAGTTGCTCCAGCAAAGGGGACCGTTTCCCATCCCTGGAAGCAATGAGGGCTGGAGCAGTGGAATTGCGAGTTGGAATGTAGATTCTGGTCTTGGCTGAAACTCAGGCTCTCCGTGTGACCTGGGCTATGTTGCTGCCCCTCTTTGGGCTTGTGTTAGGTACGTGGAAGGATGTGTGTTTGGGAATGGAGGGTGGACTAGATGCTCTCTGGGCGCTCTCCCTGTGCCCCCACCCCACCCCCGCTCTGGCCTCCGTGGAGCACGCCCACGCTCCTCCGTTCCCTCAGCCTCTGGTCCGGGACCAAGGAGCCCACTCACCTGGCGCCAGGGCGCTGGGGCTGTGGGCGCGCTCCACCTGGGTAGTTGCAGGTTGGGCATCCTCGGGGTCCCCAGGTGAGGTTGGGAAGGTGTGGAGTTCAGAGCTGCAGTTCTGCTCCTCGGGGCGGATGGCAACCTGGGCACAGGGGCGGGCGCTTAGAGACAGCTGATTGCTGCCTGGGAGCCGCCAGGCAGCTTCCCCAGACCGCCACTGGGGTCTCTCTCTGTGCTCACCGTCCCCAGCTCCGCTGTTCCAGTCACCTTCCTCTTGGCACTTCCAGCTGCCATCTCTGGGAGGCTCAGTGGAGCAAGGGGCCAGGGATCACCCTCCACCAAAAGAAGAGGAGGCATAATCCTAGCACCCACCTCTCAAGGATGTTGAGGGGTATGAGTTAATAGTGAAGAGTGCTAAACACAGCACCTCAGAGAAATACTCTCTATATATTTAAGTTGCCATTATAATATTGACCCTGGGCAGACACTTAATCTCCTTGAGCCTCAGTTTCCTTCTCTGTAAAACTGAGATAATATCACTTTTTGAGCATTAAGCGAGATGATACATGTGAACCACTTAGCTAGCACTTAGGCACATAGCAAAGATAGGTGTTTTGTCATCTTTATTATTCTGCCCCATTGCTCCTTCTCAGTTGCCTCCTGTCTCATCCAGAAATTGGGTGGAGTAAGTATGGAACGCCCATGAGTTCATTAGAAGTACCTGAAACTTCCTGCTGCCTTTCTGAAGCCTGAGGATAAAGAATTTTGCCTGCTTTCTTCTACCAGCAGACTGTTCCCATGGCCTTTCCTTCTTCCAGCAGGAAGAAGAGAAAAAAGTGTTCTGAGTTTTCCATCTTAGATCAAGTCTAATCTACATCCTACTTGTTGCAAATTCAGCCCAGAGCACAGAGCTATTCTTCAGCACTTTTTGTGGGAGCCAGAGCTCCTTCACGCCACAGCTCATCCTGCTCGGTCCACTATGTTTTATATCCGGGGAGAAATGCCTAAAGAAGTAACAGTTTTCTAGGATTGCACAGCAGGGCAGGGGCTCAGCCTTCCCCAACTGGAATTTGAGGGACTCTCCAGGGACCAGAGGTCCCCACCTGGCTCACTATTTGGCTTTAGGCTAACCACTGGCCCTCTCATGGCTCAATTTCCCTGTGAGCACAATGGGATCTTACCGCGCGCTGGCTGTCTGCTAACTCAAAGGTGAATTTCTGCACACGGCGTTGCCTCTTCTGGAAGAGGAGGGATCCTCTGTTGTTCCGCAGGGACAGCTCCTCCATCATCAAGTCCTGGGGTACACTCAGCTTCTTACCCAGGTCCAGCAAAGGGACTGCAGGGAGAGGCCAGAACAAGCTCTTCTGACCTAATGCTCAGGGCACTCGGAGCCACCTCTAAGGGGACCTCCTTACAGCACCTTCTGTTTTGTATGAGAATGCCAGCTTCTCCACACACTTGTCAATACGAGGTGTCATCATTCAGTGTACTCGTTGCCTACCTGATGAGCGGAAATGATACCTCAGAGTTTAATTTGCATGTTTGACACTCAGTGAAATTGAGCACTGTTTCAGATGATCTTTGGCCATTTGTATTCATTACATGGATTTCTGGTGCAGCATTTTGCCCACAGTGGAGGTAGTGAGAAATGATCAGATTCTAGATCTCTTTTAAAGGTAAGCCAGAGGTTTGGGACATGAGAGCGGGGAGTGGAGGATGATGGCAGGCTCTCTGGCCCGAGCCATTGGAGGGCTGGAGCATCTACTCCCTGAGGTGGGGAAGGCCGGAGGAGGAGAAGGTGAGGTATCAGGAGCTCAGTTTTAGACATGTGTTCTTTCAATTTTAAAACAGCCTTTCATTATTATAAAACATCATATATACGCATTGAAGAAAGTTAGAAAATTCAGATGTAAGAGAATGAAAAAAATTCTATTTTCTATCACAGAGATTGCCACTCTTAACACCTTAGTATCTATTCTTTCATATCTTTTTCAATGACTGTATATTCATATATGAGTTTTTGACCAAAATGAAATCACGCGCTTTGTGGCTTTTATCAATTAAGGCTCTCTACCTTTCTAAGTGAATGAATTTTTGTTTTATATCATGTCTAGTTCATGTTTAAAGCCCCCTAATTTTCTTCAAAATCGGGCCTATTAGGTTTGAAAAGCCTTGTAGAAATCCAAGTGGAGATACCAAGAAGGGAGCTCGATATGTGAGTCTTTGTGTTCATGGGAGGAAACTGACCTAAGATAAAAATCAGAGTATCACGAGCTTAGAAATGGTATTTGTTGTTGTTGTTTTTCGATGAAGAACAGTACGGTTATTTCTTTTCTTGTAGTTAGGACTATAGCTGGTTATAGCCTGGGGCCTCCAACATTTAGACCGAGGAGAGGAGGAACCAGCACGGGCGCCTGGGAAAGAGCACCCAGTGAGGCAGGAGGAAATCTAAAGAGTGTGGTATCCTGGAAACCAAATGATGAAAGCGCTTCAGGGAATATGGGGGTGATCAATGGCGTCAAATGCTGCCGGTATGTCAAGTAAGACGAGGGCTAAATTGACCATAATATTTAGTAGCAGGCGGTTACTATTTGGTGATCTTCACGAAAGCCGTTGCTGTGGAGTATTTGGGTGTTAAAGTCTTACTGGAAAGGGTTCAAGAGAAAATGGACAGAGGGACAGATGAACCACCCCACGAGGAAGCAGTGAGCCAAATCTAGGGTGTGGGACATTCTGCAGGGCACCTGGCCTGGTTTCGTCAAATGAGTGAATGACATGGAAAAAAGAAGGGGTACGTTTTAGATTAAAAGAGATTTGAGAGACATAGCAACCAAATAAAAACAATGGTGCTTATTTGGATCCTCATTAAAACAAGTTAGAAAATTGGAGAAAGTTAACTATGGGTCTGGTTATTAGATAGTATTCAATCGATATTGCTAATTTTGTTCAGTGTGCTAATGTCTCTGTGGCATGTAAGGAAAGGTACTTATTATTTTTGAAGCATTCAGAAGTATTTGGGGGCGTGAAATGACATACTCTTTGGGATTTGCTTTAAATTGCAGCAATAAAGTAGGGGGGCATGTGGGTTTCCACTCTCTCTGTATGTGTTTGGATATTGGCTTAATAAAATGTTAAAAAGAGAAAGAGAAGAAAAGTAGAGACAACTGCTTTGAGGAGCTGTGCTTGCTCTAAAGGACCATGGCTGGAGGCAGCTGTGGAATAAAGGTTCCTTTATTTGTTTGTTTGTTTTTAAAGAGAGAGAAATAACAGCATGTTTGTTAACTGATTTGAAAATTTGACAATAGAGAAAGGAGAATTTATTATGTATTTACATATAAATCGCCTTTAACATGTAAAATGTAAATACAATACAATAGAAAGAGGGGAGGGGAGGGTGCCCGGCTTCAGAGTGGGGCTAGGAGAATTCATCTACCACACCAAGAAGGAAAACTGAGGGCGTGGACACAGGGCAAGTGAGTGGACAGATGTGGAGGAGGGAGCTTGCAGACATTCTCTTTTGGTGACCTGACTTTTCTCAGTGAAATAAGAAGCAAGATCGTTAGCTGAAAATGAAGATGAGGAAGGAGGTATTGGAGGTTTGAGGAGAGAGGTTGCTGTTTGTCAAAGAGAGTGGTTTGGGAGAGTGAACGGGTCAAGGAAATGGACATAGTCACCAGGCGCACTGAGGCCATTTGCGTGTTAGAAGAATCTGTATTCTAAGGTCCCATTCATATATTTTAAAAAATAAATATACGTTTATGTACATATTGAAAAAGCTGCAAGGAGACTTACCTAATATTAGCAGTGATGACTTATGGGGCGTAGGAAGGAGGAGAGTTGGAAATTGTTTGCACTGTTTTTTTTTTTTCTTTATACAAGAAAATTTACTGCATACTAAAAATATAAAAGGCTATTTATATGTAAATACATAATAAAAAATCTCCTGGCATTATATTCTCAAATACTATCCAGATGAACTGAGCTCAATAAAAAAAGAAAAAGAAAAAGGCTCTAGATAAAACCTATTTGACTAAGCAATTCTATTTCTAGGGATTCATTCTTGGGGAGAAAAATTGAATAAACATGCCCAAAGATATTCGTACAAGGATGTTTATTGCAGTGAGGTTTCAAATTGTGATAACTGGGGATCAGTCTTGTGGTAGATGCTGCCCAGATGCCCTTTATCGGTAGCTAGCTGTCTACAACTGCCACTTTCTGCAGAGGACTGTCCAGGTGAACAGAAGCGGCCATGGTCCCCTTGCTGCAGATGGGATGAATTCTATGGAGCAAGCAGTTCATGCTCTGGAGCCCTCACAGGGTCCTAAACTAGAGCTGAGACCATATTCTTGCTGAACAATTTCCCGTGCCCTATCTGCTTGCGTCACTTCCCTTCTGAGAACATGACGTCAATAAGTCACTTGCTCGGGAATGGTCAGGCTCTGTTCCTAAGAGTCCCAACCTGAGAAGAGCCTTCATGGCCACCATTAGGGTGTGTGTGTGTGTGTGTGTGTGTGTGTGTGTGTGTGTGTGTAAATATATGTAACATGTTACGTGCTGGGGAGCGAGGGGAGGGGAGGTGGTGGGCTAAACCATACTAGGATGGAAAGAAGTTACTGGTATGCTGCTAAGTGAAAAAAAAATTTAGGCTGAAGAACACAATATATAGTCTTTAGCCCATGTGTATGTATATGAGTTTATATAAACATGTTTATATGTTTATATATGGACAGAAGGATTGACACAAATATGTTAACAGTGGATCTCTCCAAATGGTTCTGTTATGAGGAACTTTCACTTTCAAAGTCATTCATGTCTGTTTTGTCTAAATAATTTATAAAGTGATGTATTATTTGCATAACCATGTAGTAAAGAAGCAGCTCTGGAGACAAAGATTTGGAGTGACCTTTCAGCTCTACCACCTATACTAGACGCGTGACCACCTAGCTCCTCTGAGACTCGGTTTTCTGCAAACTGGGGATAATAATGTCTAACTTACAGAGTTGTTGTGAGGGTTATGGTGACATAACATACAGCATAAAAGCTCTTAGCACAGTATCTGACACATGGTAAGCACTCAATAATAGTAAGTGTTTTTGTTATTACTTTACAATGACTGTCTTTTGGCGGTGAGACCATGAGCTTATTTTATCTTTCTGCTTTTCTTTAGTTTCAAAATTGTCTTTAATTAATACCCTAGCAAATAGCCACCAATTTATAATTTATATTTGGGGGGGGGGTGTCTATAATTAATTAATTAGCCATGAGAAGAGATAATGCATTGCCTGATTCTTCTAGTTAGAGCATGAACACCTCACAAAGTCTGCATATTTCAACACACAAAATCATGGAATAAAAATAGAAGAAAGAAACTGGACTCTAACAAAAGGAGGTAAGAACACACAAAATAGGTTAAAAGGACGACTCACATGTAAAGTCATACGATATGATTACATACTTCTTAGAACTCTGAAGGAGGCAAAACTGTAGCGGTACCCTTAGGGGAGGGTTCACTGTCCACCTACATCTGAATCACCTGAGTTTTTGTCTAAAAGGGAAATGGATGGCCCCCTCCCCAGGTCCACTGAATCAGAATCCCTGGGGTGGACGCTGGGAATGTGCATGTTAACTAACAACACCATGTCACTATGATTCACATGAAAGTTTTTTTTTTTTTTTTTATGCCTACAGCACCTGGTCTTCCTAGGTGGTCTCCCATCCAAGTACTAACCAGGCCCGACCCTGCTTAACTCCTGAGATCAGACGAGATCGCACATGAAAGTTTAAGAGCACTGATGTAGTTGAATTTGTTTTTAAAATACTTGAAATGCTCTAAAGTAGGCCAAATAAGCAGTCTCCAAAATTATGCCAATAGTTCTGGAAGAGATCTTATAAAGTTGGTAAACATATATTTTAGATGATTTATTCATTGGATTAATCGGCTTTTAAGTGAAATGATTTGAATCAGATTGGATAGCCTGCTTTTGCTACCCTGCCCCACTCTTCCCCTGCCCCTTGTCTCTTGCCATGGGGACTTCATGAGACTCATAGTTTTAATCAGCAAGGAAAGGTGTGTGAAGAGTTTCAGGTCACTGTTAGGGCTGGATCTGGGACCAGAGCACTCAGAGCTCCATTTGTGGCTGAGGTTAGTTTTTAGCTGGGGCCAAGCCCCACCTAGAGCACTCAGCCTCAGCTCCTGGGTGTGAGGACATCAGGGCAAGGCCCCTTCCCAGTCCTTCGGGAAGCTTCCCAGCTCAGATGGCAGATTCCACAGGCACTCCCTCGGGGCTAGCCTGGAACTCACACCTGTTTGCCTAGGCGTGGGGCCAGCCGGCCTGAGCTGCCGCAGTCTGGAATCTAGAAGGGATGGGGTCTGAGGAATGCACAAGGGCTGGGTCCACCTTACCTGGTGTAGCTTGGTCTCCCATGGCAGCCATCACTGGCCCCTTCTGTTCCTTGGGGATCATCCTGTGGAGGAGATGATCCACAAATGGGCCAGGTCGCTTCCATTCGCCCCCAGACTGCCTCCCAGTCTCTGGTCCACCCAGCTCCAGCCCTGAACAGCCTTGGTCCACCCGAAAGTCTAAGGCAAGGGCTATCTGAGCTGGAAGAGTCTCGTCATACAGAGGAGGAGCCTGTGGCCCAGGGAAGGTGAAGGAAATGCTCGATGCTTCCATGCAGCAGGAGAAGCTCTCTCTCCTCAGGGGCTGGTTTCTGGGACATTAAGAGTGGGCAAAGTGGTTGTCTCAGACCATTGTCATCCTCCGACTCAGGTAAGCTCTGATCAAGGGCTGAAAGAGGATGGAAGTTTACATCAGGGGTGGGTATGGGTGGGTAGTTTGGGGCGACACTGGGATCTACAAGGCAGGTCGGTCCCCAGTACTTGGCCCTGAGGCTTGAGGGCACAGGCTGGTCCAAGGAAACTGAGAGAACCATCACCCGCTTCCTCAACCCCCATCCCTGAGCTAACTTTCATAGCGCTCTCTTCTTTTTAAAAAATATAATTAAACATCTTTTTCAATTACAGTTGACATGCAATATTATATTAGTTTCAGGTGTATAATCTAGTGCTTAGACATTTATATAGCTTACGAAGTGATCACCCCAATAAGTCTAGTACCCAATGGTGCTTTCTTCTTCCTCGCTCCTTTTCTCCCTCCTGATCCATCCCCTTGTTTGCATCTAATGGCACTTTCTAGGAATCTTGGAGGAGATTGATAAATAAAATGATGTCCAGAGCCCCAGAGAACCCTGCAGGCCTCAAGTCCAGATCCCCTAACTTGCCCCCAAGAGAGAAGGCAGAATAGTTGAGCCCCTTGACAGACTATGCATCAGTGTGCCCCTCCTCTTCGCTTCCAGATTTTTCTATATTCTTTCCTTTAAAAAAACAATCTGCCTCCATCGGTAACCCCAACACCCACTCCCACTCCCAGCCCAGATCAGTGGGCACTGAGCGGGGTGACATGGCATCTAATCAGTGCCCGACTCCCTCTGCAACTAGGAATAAGTTGGTCTCCAGCTCTGTGACTCAGTTCCCCCTTCTGTAACATATGGGGTTGGGCTAGACCACAGGGATCCATGGATGGGCTTCAGGGCATCCACAAGCCCCCTAAAACTGGATATAGATATAACCATGTCTGCATGCATTTGGAGTGAGGGTCATGAGATGATCTGGAGTGTTCCAACTGTGACCGCTGAGGACCGCACAGTCCACCGGTCTGTTTATAAACACTCCCGTTACAGAAATTCGCAGATGTTGGGAAGGGCCCCTCATATTCTAGACCCAGACCTTGCTTCCCTACTGCCTAAAGATCTTGGAGGCCTGAGCCAAGCCATTACCTATCCCTCACTTTGAATCCTAGCCACCCCCTCCCCATTTAACCTAGAGAAACCTAGAGCTTAGAATCCCTCCCTTCCCAACTTAGGATTCAGGCCGTGAGGCCCTACAGCTCCCAGACCCTCCACAGGGCCCATCCTCTGCTTGGAGGAGAAGGGGCTCTGGGAATTGGCTCATTTCCTCCACTCACTCCCCTTAGCAACTCGAGCTCCTGGTACCTGAGAGCTGGGACCACAGTGGGCAGAGGGAGAGTCAGACCCTCAAGATTAACACCTCTGTCTGGCAGCTAAAAGCTGAGTGGTCGGTGTCCTTACAGCGGTCGCGCGGTCAGGAAGCAGAGTGCATTCTGCAGCCAGCTCTGGCCTCAGCTGATGAGAAGTGTTTCTGCCTTGTCGTGGCTCACAGCCTTATTTCAGGCTGCAACAGGATCCAGGGACAGATGCTAAAAGCACCAGGCCCCAGGGAAGACAGGTGCCAGGCAGCAGGCCCTTGCCGACAGACGGGTTTATACACACACATACACATATGTTCATATGCACACAACGAGGTCACCTGGAAATGCCGAGAGTCAGTTGCCAGTCACTTGAGCTTGCTAATTGTATCCTTTGTGCCTAGAATGGGACCTGATAGGAATGCAATAGATAATTTGTTGAATGAATGGATGGATGGTTGAATGCATGAATGAGCTGTCCTCCGGTATCTTTGACTTACTCATTCCTTCTTTCTTCTTTTCTGCCTTCCTTTCTTCCTGCTGCCTCCTTTCTTCTCTCCCTCCCTCCACCTTCACACATTCTCTGAGCCTCTCTATGGACTGAAAATAAATAAGGCAGGACCGTGCTTAAGGAGCTCAGCCAGGCCCGACTCAGACCCGTAAACAAGCCTCTGAAATGCATCATGGGAAATGCTCTGGGAATGCCCAGGGGTTGGTGCCACCAACTCGTCTTAGGGATGGGGAAGGCTTCCCAGAGGAGGAGACATTTGAGCTGGGCCCTGAAGGCTGAGTGGGAGTTCACTGGGCAGAGAGAGGACACAGGAATTGCAGGCAGAGGCCCTGTTACGGATGAAGATGTTAGGGAGTCAGCGAGTAGAACCAGAACTGGTGGTGGGGGCTGCTGAGCGATGAAGCCAGACAGGTGGGCAGGGGCCAGACCACAGCAGGCTTTTCAAAAGGCAAGTGTGCTTTATAAAGAGCCATTGAAGAGTTTAAAGCAGTGGAATGGAGCAGTCAGATTGGCATTTTCCAAAGATATCTCTGGCTGCCATGTGAAAAATGGGGTTGGGGGCTGGGCAGGGGAGCCAAACTGGAGGTGGGACTTCACTGTGATCAGAGGAGGAATGGGGGCAGCTGGATGGGGGAGTGGGACCTGAGGGGTATTTGGGAAATCACCAGGTCCTGTGAGAGACTGGATGTGGGAGATGAGGAGAGGGCCAGTCCTATGTCTGTCTTAGGCGACTAAGGAGGGTCATGGGGGAGAAGCAGATTGGAGTGGAGTGTGGATACTGAGTTCAGTTTGGGATGAACTTGGTTTGAGGTGTTCAGAGACTGGGAACACCAGGAAGCAGGGGGATACCATGCTCAGGAGAGGTTCCGGCTGAAGATATAGATTGGGTTAGAGGAGTCCCAACCACTCCCAAGGAAGGGTGGGACCAGCAGAGACATGCTGGGTCCAGGGCAGGGAGCACCTGTGCCTGTGTGATGGAACACCATCCACGGGCATAGTTCTAACAGCTTCTTAGGAAGAAGCTTCGGCTCGGCTGTAGACAACTTGAGTTCAGCTTCCCGCTCCTCAGGTGCCTCTGCCAGCTCTGAGATTCTAGAGAGGAAGATGAAGGATGTTCCCAGGGCAGGCTTGGCCTCACCTGAAAATAGGGCCA